GCTCAATAAGTTGATAATTGTTGTTATCATTTGCATACTTCACACCAACTCCAATATTGATCAGTGAACTATGTTTTAATTTTACCCAAATAAACAACGATATAGTTTAATGGTCAAGCACATATGGAGGATTCACAAGAGGTGTTAAGTGTCGTAATGTGTTAAAGTCTTAAAATTTTTAAACGTAAAATAACACCTAGTACTTCTTTAGGCGTTTTTTAACATAACCAAAATGTTTTTCAACTAGTAGGAATTATATTATTGGCTCTTATTGTACCCAACGAATCTTTCAAATCGCTTTTAACCGTTCCTTTATATTGAACAATTTTAAGCCTTTAAGACATTACGACGTCTAACACGAATTGTGAATCCCCTAAATATGCATTAAATTACACATCAAAATTTGTAATTTCAGTGTTCAAATTATGTATATCAGAAACAATCGCACCCGATATTGAAAACTGTAATGGTCCTGGCTAGTTACATTGTGAAATAATCAGATGGCATAAAGACCCAAAATATTTTTAAAATATGTTCACTAAAATTTTACGGGAGTGTCTATTCGCGCTTTACCAGTGTCACCATTGCCAACAGTGTACCAGTTTCACCAGTGTACCAGTGTCACCAGTGTACCAGTGTACTAGTGTCGCCAGTGTACCAGTTTACCAGTGTATCAGTGTACCAGTGTCGCCAGTTTCACAAGTGTCGCCAGTGTCACCAGTGTACCAGTGTACCAGTGTCACCAGTGTCGCTAGTACCACCAGTTTCAATCAGTGTTGCCAGTGTCGGATGTGTCAAAAGTGGCACCAGTGTCACCAGTGTCGACAATGCCGCCAGTGTCACCAGGGTCACCAGTGTCGCAAGTGTCACCAGTGTCGTTTAACATAGTGTCGTTTTACATAGAAAAGCGCCGCATACAAAATCGCCCAATTTTTCAATCCTCTTTACTATATATTAAAAATTTTTCGCGCGATATTTTATTCCAAATTTTCGCCTGCTTCGCTTTTTCTAACAAAATTTTTTTTTATATATAGTAAAGAGGATTGAAAAATCGGCCGATTTTGTATGCGGCGCTTTCCTATGTAAAACGACACGATGTAAAATAACACTGGCGACACTGGTGACACTTGCGACACTGGTGACACTGGCGACACTGGTGAAACTGGTGACACTGGTACACTGGTGACACTGGCAAAGTGCGAATAGACATTCCCAAATTTTATTAACCTAAATGCATTAGCGCACACAAGGGGTGGGTTTTGGGGCTCAAACCCTCCCTAAAGCCAATAGCCTGAAATTCAAACTGTATCTTAAAGCCTAAAATCCAAGTCTCAAGAAAAATCACAAGAAATATTTTTTTATTATTTCTGTTTCTTGAATAAATAAATATGAGGGCATTTTTTTCTTGAGAGCTGCAAACTGATTCAAGAAATTTTGATAGAAGAAAATTACTTTTCCATTTCGTGTGCGTCATTTTATATTAATTTTTCCTTTTTCTTGAGAGCTCTTATAAGTTTAACTGCGAATGAAAACATTGTCCTAAAAATATGCAATGCATACTCATTTACTGTTGTTTTTTACACTTTATAGTCTAAAAGAGTTTACCACTGATATGTACTTAACAAGGATTCGAAGATTTAATTTGCCAACTTCGAATTCGTTCCACCAATACTAAAAAAATTAGGCAATCGTGAAAAATCACCATCTCCATCGAAAACCAGAGATCGAGGAGAATTAACATTAAACTCTTTTTAACATTGTTGTTGAGTGCATCTTGTGTTTGTAGAACTTTATATTAAACGAGTAATTTTCAAACTACCGGACGACCCTTCAGGTACCCTCTACCCATAAAAAAAAGAATTATTGAAATCGTGGCCCAAAGTTATGCGGTAGCATACATAAAAAAAGAAAAAAATATACCGACGAATTGATAACCTCCCCCTTTTTTGAAGTCGGTTAAAAATGCTTGAGTACTTTGTTAATTTTATGTAAGTAAAGTGCAATTTATGAAATTTCAAAAAGTTTATTTATTTATTACATACTGTACAGAAAACTTGCATAAATATTCTTTAAATAGCATATTATCTGAATTTTCAGATGAATAAACCCCTCTCAAAATATATTCCTGGGTGCGCCCCTGCCTAAATGTAAAGTTTTTGTGAAGTGTTTATTTAAGATATGACCTATTTTTAAAAGGTACATGTTAATACAATTGTTTCATATATAATCCCAAATTTATGATATAAAATCCCCTCTACCAAAAAACTTAAATTGGGTAACACCACTTCGAATTTTACAATTGGGCGCGTTTCTAAGACGCAACTGTTTACCTAAACTGTTGCTGAAATGCTGTCAACTGTTGAGTTCAACAGTTACGTCTTAGAAACGGTATTATACATAAACTGCCAAAACATTTGTAAACAAGCAAAATTAAATAAAACAGCACAAAAAAAAATAAATATTAAGCCAAAAATATGGATAGCACAGAACTTATAATGGAGTTTTTCTTATTTTATTTTTAATATATGTATTTGTACGTGTATTTTATTTTATTAACAGCCAGTTTCGCCAACAATTTACAGACATATTGTTTTTATTTGAATTTTCTATGACAACTGACGGAAGGGAAACATCATTTTTGACTTATATAAATTGTTGACTTCATGTAGCGAAATAATTTTATGATGGAAAATGGCGTAAAGTTGCCAACGGTTGAGCTGAGTGGAACTACTCAACTATGCGTTTCTGAAACAAACACTCAACAGTTTAGCAACAGCTACGTCTTAGAAACGCGCACATTGGGCAGTTGTCAAAAATCTACCTTTTTATAAAAAAGTTGTTTAACCGGGTGTCTTTGAACTAATGATTGGTTGGTTTTGAGTGAATGGAAAATTTAAAAATTGTAAACCTCAACCTTAAGCGAAGAATAAGTAATGAAAACAGAATAGAAAAAAAAATTTTGATTTAAAATTGAAAATGATTTCACACTTATACAGCTCTGGCAGACAGCTCTTAAAAAATAATTTTTTTTGGTTGAAGGTTTTTCACGTTTTTTCCACACCAAACTATGTTCGACAATTTTCATTTATCTGGAGGAAACTGCCAGCAAAAATAATTGCTAAAAATCAATCAGCTTGAAATTTGCACTTCATTATACTAGAATTAAATGGTCTAGAAAACTGCATACCAAAATTCTAATTAAAAAGTTTGAAATTTTGGTGAAAGAAGCAGAATTTTTCTAATTTTTGCATAAAGTTTGAAATCTGAATTTATATGGTTTTTGTTGTATGTATACCAGCTAGACTTTTATAAAAAAATAATAAACATTAAATAAACAAATGCAAGGCAAATGCCAGTATGTACATATGTACATACCTAGCATATAAATTCTTATGCATTGAGTGCAAAAGAGTGTATTTTAGTACAAAACGAAATGAAATTTTATGTTCCTAAACATTTCTTACTTAGTACCATATAAAAAAGTTTTTTATGTAGTGTACATAAATGTGATATTTGTACATATATTTTCACACATACATATGTATGTACATACATACAGGTGTCTGTAACGTTGCATAAAAAGCCAATTAATTCAATTATTTGTTTTCTGTAGTTTTGTTAACTCCGTTAAATTAATTGATTTTATGAATTAATACATCTATTTCCATAGGCCGATTAATCGGCATCGGCATCGGAATCTGAAAAAAAATTGGAATCGGTCGGACTCTATACATATGAGGTTTAAACAAGGCACGCTTGTGGAACTGAAGTCAAACTCAATTGAAAAATTTATTTATTTATTGAATTAAGTCTACAGTACAAAGTACCTTACAGATTAGCAAAATAAAATATACTTATGTATATACAATGATAAACTTATAAAATAATTGAGTTTAAAAAAATACCGTTTTTGGAGAAAAGATATAATTTACAGCTAGGAAAATTTACATGAATACTTACATATCGTCGACTGGTGGAGAATAACTCGTGTGCTTCAAGTTAAATACCTCATAAACAATGGTGGCATTTATGATTGATCACCTAGTCGATTTGGTTAAATATAATCGGACTATAGTTAAACATTACATAAATACAATAAATCGCATTAATGTTTAGAATTAACAATAACAACCACGTGGATCTTGAACTTTTTTGCAAAAAGTGAAGATGTGTTATGGTACGCATACGACGAGACCAGTAGTGAGTGCAGGCGGCATGACAAAAATGAAGCACTGTGGCTAGTCATGTCGGCTGGGCGGGTTCTTACCCTCACTACTGTTCCCTACTCTATACCAGAGAAAAGTCATGCCTATCAAACATCTTCGCTTCCGGCATGGCCGGAAGTATTGGACGGGCACATAAAAAAATATTCAACAATTAAAAAAAAAAAACAGTTACACAAAAAAGCTGAAAAAGACGTTAAAATTAAATATTTAAAATAAACTGAAAAGCAAAAGAAACCAAACTAAAAACTCTGAAATAAAAGGAAATGAACAAAACAAAAACCTACGGCCGAATATGAGGGCGCCACCGATGTTGTTGTGCGCCCGGTGCTGTCCCACCCTCGCCATGGCTACTGGCGCACCTTAATATCAGTAGCCCCATTATTAAATCGAATGGGCCTTCCTAAGTAATTAAAGAAGTCAGCATTCACATTTAGTTACAAAATTTCATCATTACTTAAATCTAATTCCTATAAGCTAACTAATCTAAATCCTATCATTTCTTAAAAACTAACTCCTAACATCTAACTCGCGCGCTTAATTCTAAACGAACTTAAACTACTTAAAACTAAGGTAAATAATTAAGGTATTTGAAGAAGAACAAAGAAAAAAAATCTGTTCTTTCTTATTTTCTCTTTTCCTTCTTTGTATACATAAAAAAAGGATATTTATAAGTAATTTATTTCTTCATTATTTCTGTTGTTATTATTATCAGTTATGCTATCTTTAAATATATAGTGGCCATTTTTCTTTTATTGTATTTATAGTATTTTGTTTAAAATTGGCTGACTTCCAAAACGTCTATTGCTTTGTATACGTACAAAGTAAAAGGTTCCATAACGTCGAACTACACAATATTGACAATGTGTACTGTTCCAAAACGCGGCCGATTAGTTATCGGAACGTATCGCTTGAGCAATCAGTGCATCAGAAACAAAGTTGATGCTTCATTTGTTATTGGTTACCATTGGTGTTTTAAATATGGAAAATTCAGAAAAATTTTCATTGCTGTATTGAATATTTAAAATATGCAATGTATATGGTTGCAATGTGTCGCAACTCTGCATATACAAACAGTTTGAATACCGCAGTATAACAGTTTCCAAACATTGTATTGATAAGTTTTGGAAGTCAGCCATTATTTTAGCTTACCTTTTATTAAGGTTTTACTTTATGTTACCTTATTTATACCTAATTTTCCGCTTTAAGTCCGCTTTAAAATCCGTGTTTATTTATTTGTGTAACCGTGTTTATTTAAAACTTTTTTCTAAATTGAAGTTTAATTAATTTTCTTTTTAATTTAATCCAATTTAATTTGATTTTAATTCAGTTTAATTTCACTTAATTTTAATTTATTTTATTTGATTTTATATATATATTTCTTCGTTTTATTATATTAAAATTTTTTGTTTATTTATTTATATAGACTTCTGTTAGTTACAATTTCTACTAAATTGAAGTTTATTTTATTTTATTTTAATTTAACTTGATTTTATCTCAGTTAAGTCAGTTTCCCTCTATTATATTTAATTTTGTTAATAATATTGTTATCTCTTTAATTTTATTAACCAATTTGGGTTTACATAAAGAAAAATTCCCTTAAAAGTTATTAACTAAAAAAAAAATAATAATGTTACTAGTCTTTCTACTTGCGATTTCTTTATATAAGACATGTGAATTTTAGTTGAAACATTTTAGCCGTTTTTAGCTGTTTTTTTTGCCAATATAGCCGGTCGGCCCAAAAAGTTCTGGCAAAACTGACAATGATCCGGATCTATAGTGAATCTGCCTTAGAAACTGTATCTTATAGTTGGTGGCGATTTCTATGTGGGTGGGTGCGTATCATTGTTCAACAGAAATCCTGTATATGTACATACATACACAGACTTCTTTAGATGAAATACCTTAAAAGCCAGTTTCAATTTAAGTGAAAAATGATTTTTTTTCTGTCAGATTCCATATTAAATTCAATTAAAAAAAAAATAAATTTTCATCATATTGCTTTCATGAAACTGGCTTTTAAGGTATTTCGACAGGTGGTGATTTGAGATTTACCACTGCACAACATATAACATTGGTGTGTAAGCAAGTGGACGTGGGGCGCTCACTTTGGTTGTGAATTATACGTGATTTTCTAACTAAATAATTGGAAAAATGAACTGTTTAATATGTAAATAAAGAATAGAAAATTGATTGGTCTGACTGCAAAACTATTTTCACTGCAAATGTGATAACATAAAGCCTGCCGACATTGAATTTTTTAAAGCGCACAATAAAAAATTTCGTTGTGACAAGTGCAGTGGCTTGCGCAGAAAAACTCTACACCAATCAACAACAACGCAAACTTTATTTATAAGAAAATTGATTAGAAAAACAGCTGTGCTAGTCTTTTTGTGGATATAACGAAAGCATTTGACATGGTTGACCATGACATTCTACTGAGCAAGCTTAATTCCGCAGGTTTTCGTGGGACCAATCTCGATTGGTTTAAGTCTTACTTATCAAATAGAATTTAAAGAGTAAATATTCACAATAATCTCAGCACAACCAGAGGCATAACCTTAGGTGTTCCCCAGGGATCGGTTCTTGGACCAATTTTGTTTTTGATATATATTAATTCCATATTTTCGCTGCCTTTTATGGGAAAAGTTACAGCTTTTGCTGATGACCTTGCGATTGCATATGGATCGAAAAATGCATTTAATCTCTTTGTTGATATCAACCACGATGTTCATTTGCTAAGATCTTGGTTTGCTAGTCATAAACTCGTGGTAAGCAGCAAAATAAAATTATTGTATTTTAGCGTTTGTGGCAAGGAAATACCTAGTAATGAAGTTGTTTTTCATGCCCATAATTGTATGCGGCACAAGTTATGCAGCAATAAATGTGTTCAGCAAAAATCTATAGCTACTTTTGACGAGAATACAATTTGTGACAGTACATGCTTTGTCGTCGAAGTTGTTTCTAACTTCAAGTATTTAGGGGTTATAATTGACCAAAATTTAAGTTGGTCATCACATATCTCCGCCATGAAGCAATATTTGTTATCAACTGTTCGTTCTTTCTATTATCTAAAAAAACTGTGCTCAAATAGAATACTAAGAACCGTGTATCATG